ACTGTAGACTATGAAGTAGAAATTATCGAAAAGGATATTTTTTGTCCACCCAAATAGCTTTTTAAAAAATTTAAATAGAACGAGTACATGGTCTTATTCTTGACACCAATATCACTTAAGGAATCAATGATATTGAATCCATTTTCAACGGAGACGTGCATAAATAATCAATCATTTAGCAGGGTTATATGTGGGTGACTGATATGCACAAAATTAGTTGTAAAAGACTGTCACATTTTTGCTTTAGCTAATCTGTATGGACAGTGAAATCCAAATAGAGCATTTCACCAGGATACAGTTCACTCTGCCTTTTTAATTTATTCAGTCATTCAGAGAAAACCTCTGGCATAAATTTGATATCATCTTTAAGAGGAGATAATATCTTAATTTTGTGATCGAATCATAACAGCCACAAGCGATTCCTGATCGCTTTGCACATAATGATGTCAGAATTATATCTTAACCATTTCAAGGCTTTAAAATACTCAAGGCTTAACATCGTTTTCTGCATGAGACAAGGAATGTGAAAGTGATGAGCAATATCTCCTAGATTATCTGTTATCCCATTATGATTGTGTGAAACTGTTGAAAATGCCCGTTTTGCTGATAACATAGATTTTTAAGTTTATCATCCATCACTAGATTAGAGTTTTATATCTAAGGGACATGAAAAATTATTATCGACCAAGAGTTCATCTTTCTCGTGAACACAAAACTAAAATATATATCTACTTGGTGAGACACAAACAGTATTCCCAGCCGTTCACCAACGTTTTCTGACACCCTTCTTGCCAATGAATATCTGAAGGAAAACAGCTCATTGTAAAAACTTTCCATCTATTTATTTCGGAGGATAAGATGAGGAACTGGACTGGAAAGATGAACTCTGAAGTGGAGTTAACTTTCTAAAGTTCAGTAGTGTCATGATGGTTACTGCTGATTAGAATCACCTTTTTCTTTTTCCGAAACTCTACCATTTTCAACTTTACCTGCATCATGTTACTCGTAATCTTAGGATTTTAAATTGAATTACCTTCTATTGAGAAATAGTGTGAAGCTAAAAGTTATCTACAGGTGTTATCGTGCTTCTTGTGGGATATAACGTTCTGTGCGCTGTATGGTTATTTAACCTGTTTGTATAGTTTCTTAAATGCTCTCAGTCGTTTATTCATATATCATGCTGTTTATTCATGTGGAATTGCACCTCGTAGTTGGGATGTGAGTACGTTTATGCTTGAAAAATGATCATAAATCAAAGCAAGGTAATTTAGCCTCCAAGTTGCAGCAAAAAGGATTTATGATTGTAGTTTTCAATTCAAAATATAAACTTACAAAACAAGCAAAACACTATAACACATGAGGATGACTTTTAGACTTTACAAAGTGATCATTTCCTAGGATTCAAAATTTGTTTCTGTGAATTCTTCTAGAAAGCTCGAAGGTTTATTTTGTTTTGTACATATTTCAACTCACTCACCATTTCTTATCAAAGTAAATGAAAGATTTGCCTTCTCGACAAAGAACGTGTACAAAAAATCTATTTTCCGCATGCCTAACACAGTCGATTGAATAGTTTTATTTTCCGAAATTACCGCTAAAACCTCCTGTTACTCAAATCAACATACTACTACTAATAGTATCACTACTAATATTGTTTTGAAGAAAACATCTGATCTGGGGATACTTAAATTGGGCAATTATGTTGAGATGATGTGCAACTACTTAAAATTAGACAGCTTACCCTCTACTTCTAGGAATACTTGAATAGTTCATTGTTGAAACCAGCATTAATTTTATTCAGACAGAAAAATCCCGTCAAAAAGTGTTTCTGTATGGTCTAGCTGCATATTTTAGTCTAATCACCAGTTATTTTAACTCAGTGCCATGTGAAAATATAATCTAAATAATTCAGCTGTTGAAATGTTATGTTAAGAGGATTTTCGACGTCATGGCCAGTTAAAAAACAATTATGTCTGGATTCCATCTCATTTCAAATGGCCAACCTTATGGATCCTAGGTTTTCCCAATGTGATCCATCATTTTAGGCTATATATAGAAGGAATTCCCCATGGCTGTTAGGTGAAAATATCTCACATTTGATGATATCATTCAGATGCCTCTGAATGGGTTTTTTCACTTTTGCTAAATATGTGTCTAGAATTTTTCAATGAATGGCATCGCGTTGGATATCTTTACATTGTTGCGCCTCTGAAGGTTCTTGGGGTGCATTCAAACTTTGGAATTTTATTAATGTCTAAACCTATAAATAACACATACCAGACATCATTAAAATACGCTAACATTATAATTACACGAAAATGACAAATAAATATTTGCTCTATGTTAAATATATAAAAACTTTCTCTATTCCCAAAATTCACGTCGGTGATCTCATCAGACGTTTTACAGCTATGAGGAAAGAAAGTAGTTAGTAAAAAAAGCTTTGTGCAGAAAATATCGTATTTCAGAAACGTACAAACATAATGATAACCGAAAAACAGATTACAGTTTATCATCAGTCTGCAGGTCATCAAAACGTGATCCAGTGATTAACTATGAACCATTTCGGAAAACAGAATGGGATGACGTAGTTGCTTGTATAGTGATGAAAGGCACAAACTTCTATGAGATAGATAAATCTTCAGAAATAAAATTGAAAAAAATTGTTTTTAGGTTTCTGGTGATAAGCCCTTACAAAAGAGGTAGAGAAAGCGGAAGGTGATAGTGAATTAGTGGCATTTTCGACCATTATGGACTTAAATACCCATTCTTTATCCCAAGAATGAAGATAGCTGGGAGATAAAGATAACCTGAAAGACGGATGGCTGTATTGTCCAACCCCATGAAGTTTCAGCAATATTCACTGTTGACTCATGGTGAACTCAAAACCGTAATGTACAAATCTCATAGCCCATATGTAGCTCTATAGTCAGAAGACAGAAGTCAAATAAGTGGAATTAAGTTCAAAATAATTAGTTTGCTTTACAAACTTCAGCAGAAGATCACAAGGACGTGATTTGTCTGAGCCATGTAAAGTATTTGTGCAGCACATTTTGAACAATCTGCTCACTCACTCGTCATATTTATTTGTATGAAAATTTGTAAAGGAATAGGAGGTGAGAATATGAAACGAGGTCAAGAAAGAAGGCTGAGTTAAACAATAAATATCAGTGAAAACCAATAGAGCGAAAATCATAGTACGTCTAACTTCGTTTCACGGTTCAATTCCATCAGGTTGATTGCGTTAACATAAGAATTTCTGTGAGCTCCCTTTTAGAAGACATATATCACATTCGGAAAACAATGGAAATTCGATTGAGAAGGCCAATCTACACTTATGATATTTAGACAAAATCCTAATTGTGTGTGATAACTCAGGTCACTGCACTTCTGTTCCTGTTTGAATGAAATGTAGAGCAGAATAACCTTGACATGCGTAGAATGCATGATGATTGCTTACCTTTCTTGGGCATAGTAATAAGTCAGCAGCAGGATAGATCAATAAAACGATCTGTCAAGCCAAACCACCATAGACAGGTCAATATCTGAACTATTGTAGCTTTTGTCCATTGCGGTACAAACCAGCGTGCGTTAGGTTTTTGTTTAGTAGAATTCAAAAAATATGTACAAATGGTACTTAGTTAGACGTAACGAGAACACTAACTGAAACGTTGCTGGAAAATAACTGTCTATCAAGATTTATTAGTAGCGTAAAGTAGCCAGAGTGCCGAAACCTGCTCTTTAATCTATCCTGAGCCAAGAAGTCTTCATCAGTCTTCCACATAAAGGTGATTCACAGTACAATATTTAAGCACAGATGTAACGCTGATGTTAGAAGAACACGCTATGCAACTACGTTCTGACTTATAGAAACCATCAAGTCTGTATACTTTTCTGAACCCTTACAGTATGTAAACGACAATATCACATCCGGTTGTCTCTATCAATTCAAATGTACGTGAGATAACACGCATAGGGAAGAATTATAGATATCGAATGCCGATTCGTCTTCTTACAGATCCTAGAGCCTGTAAAAGTATGAATCCCCATTCCTTCTTTACGTGATACTTTTGAATTAAAGATAAACACAAGGGACCTGGAGAATATTTCAAAGTGGCTTCAAAAACAGATTGACTCGCTTCAACCTGAAAACTTACCAGACGTCCACATCCTTCGATCTCGAAACATATAGTTGAGGCAGGTCACATGACCCACGTTACTAAGTCCTACTGATTTCCATTGCTTTTTTAGCTTTCAACTTAGCCCTATCACTTGAATTCTTTTCATATTCTCAACCCCTGTCCCTCCACAAATTTTCATATAGATAACTATGACAAGTACATGTGTAACCAGATTGTTCGAAATGTGTTGCATAAAATATATTGCTTGGTTCTGACAACTTACGTCGTCTTATGGTTTTATCAATATTCCTAAGCTTGAAATGATTCATAAAATAGTATGACAGTTATGTAGTAATGATTTCACTACCTGTCTCTATGACACTTAAAGGATTGAATTTAATTAACACACTTGGACCACAACTTCATGACTCATTTATAAAATTCTCTGTAAGAAAGTTTGTAATCTTAGGCCTGCTTGTATTATGAATCTACTGAAAACTTATCAGATGAGATGGAAGATATTTTGTCACTTAAAGTAGTTATTGAAGTGCTCAACTAGAATAAGACTGAAACAAATAAAATGCTCCAGCGAATAAAATTTATATGACCGTTAATTAAATTATAAGCTTGTGTTGTGTTCTCTGAACTGTGTGGTTTAATCGTGAGCCCTTAACACAACCAAGCCCATTCACCTGAGCTACAAATATTCTCTGCCAATTTAAAATATAAACAGATCTCTTTGTTAGATATTGAAAATATGAGCAGTGAGACTGATATACAACATGTTCTCAAAACAACTAACTGTTACTTTTTACAATGAAATTATCTGAAACAAATGATTGATTTAAAAAAATAATTCTGTCAATTGAATTTCCTTACATTCTAATTCTTGTTTTTCATTGCCAATGAAATCCTTTGGCATAACGTTTGAATGTAGCCAGTCTGTAGCTGTTCCATTTATCCAATCAATTTGAAAGTACGCATCATAATTATGTCCTGAATTTAATCCCGAGATCAAAGTGCTATCTTGTGGCATCTTGATATCAATCATTTTTGCATTTTTGTCTTAGGAGAAGAAAAATCATAAGCATTCCAGTAAACGACTTCAAAACTAACCAAAAAACACCATAAATTACAAAAAGATAGTAGACATCGTGAAATTACATATTTTTAATTGTTATCCCTACACCAAAAACTTCCGTAAACGCTGAGCTCTTAGTTTATTTTTTTCACTAAATAATGTCAGTCTTGTAATAGTTATATGTGTCTCGCCTGTGTTTGCTGTGCCTATTTAGGGTCTGCGAGACGAAAGGAATCATGGCTGAAAGTCGATCACAGTGGTGCAGATGTATTCACTGCCTGACATCTGTAGCTTAAATATTTGAAGTAGCCTTTATCTTCTAGCCGTTTGTTCTCTCTCATACCTTGTCTGCTTGCATATCACTGTTTTTCTATTCACTTATTCTTCGCGTTCTACCGTGAAGTGTAAAGATTTGACTCGAGAAACTTATGTACGACCTTCTGCATCAATTTTTTCAGTCAAGGTGAATCACAATACCTTGTGCTACAAAGCTTATTTCTCATTCATATAGTTGACAACAAATAAAAAGTTGAATAGTTAATTCATGCATAACTCTGTGAACCGGATAACTTTCGTAGTATAGTATGAATTGAAAGTTGTCAAAACATTTGAAGGCAAGTACGTCGTTTTCCCTTCTTTAAAGCTGTTTCACTAGGAGTGATGTCATATGACTGGCAAAAAAGCGTTTTTTAAAATTATTTTAGAAAAATTTCCCAATATCATTTGGACGGACAGTAGTAAATGTCTTTTTACACGTGTGCCGATTGTGTTGAAAATGCATGACACAATAAGTAGCCTCCATTTAAAAAACATTGCAACATTTCATGCACTTACTTGCTAAAGCTAAATATGTCCAAAACATTTTCACGTATAAATTAATGATCTCAGTAGTTAAATCCGGAATAGTATTTACCTGACTAACACTAATGTTTCAATATAACAGACAACCGGTTTTTGTAGGCATTTATAAACTCTTGGTGAATGTCTACCGAATAGCCTAATACAAAGGTGCAGTATTGAATTTAAATAACCTCGAAATTTAGTTAGATTTCAAAGAATCATAATAATGGGGTCTGATAAAATTCTGATTGAGTTTCTTTCATCTGACGTCTACGTTAAAGGATGTTTGGGAACACTATCACTCAATGAGCTTCAGGTACTGACATGCCTGAAATGGTGTGAAATTTGCATACTCCAATCCAATTCTAGCCACCATTTATCCTTAAGATCCCCTTAACAGTGTATGTCCTCTTTCAACACTAATTTTGTATGGTAGTATAGTTGATTTGCCTAGGACTAAAATACTATTCCTCAGTCAAAATATTACTGCGTAAAACAAGTCATAATTCATCGCACATCTACCACATAGTTGAGTAGTTAGCGGCAGTTGTAATAATAGTGAAAAGGATTACTGTGGTATTAAAATCAATCAGATTTGGTAAACACCACAATTACTCAAGTAATGGTATAACCAGTTGAAGACAAACACAACCATAAGAAAATAAACTGAGAATTTTTCAATATCACTCAAACTTCTACATTACTGTTATAACGTTGCACAACTACGACATATACTCACGATCGTTAATGAATGAATGGAGGATATTCACAAAATATCTCTATGAGATCAATTTGTACCGGGAAAATAGCTTGTAAAAAGAGGATAAGCATGGATTCTGTTAGACTATGTATGTATGACATGCATCTTATAGGTTTCTCCATGAACTAAATTTTCCACAGGTTAATGCTCACCTAGATTATCTGATTCCACAACAAATACAGAAATAGAATCAACAGATTTCATTAAATCCTTGGTAATGGTATATAATGGTAAATGAATACTAAGTGTGTCACGTGAAATCCACTGAAGTGATGGACCATTCTTGGAAGTTTCTCCAACCTGACAAATAAAATAAAGCATAAGTTTATTATTGTGAAGTTTTTTGGAAATTTACTGTAAAGATACGGTATAGGTTTATATATATATATATATATATATATATATATATATATATATATGCTCGAGTGATTTCTAGATTCAGCGACTCAGTAAAGGGTCGGTAAGTTGGTTGGATTTATTGCGTGACGCACAACAGATAGGTGATCTTTATGCTGTTATCTAATTAAGCTTTCATGCTTGAAGCGAAAAAAATTTAGCCAGATTTCCTGGCCAAACATTGCTTCCTACTTTTGCACTGTGATAACAAAGCGGAGCATTATCAGTCTTATAGTATAAGCACTTTCGTATACAACTAATTATAAGCAAAAAGCATTCATAGACAGTGTTCCAATGAAACACTCTGAATGTACTCTTGGCCGAACATTTTCAGTTGAACTAAGTGCACTTATTTCCACTAAAACTTGTCCGCATTGCTTGTAAATGGCTTTCTGCACTTTATGTAGCTTAATGAAGTAAAAAAGGATCCTGTTGACAGCTTTAAACCAACAAATATCCTTCAAAACACTGCGTGATGGTTAGTCTCCCAGCTTGTGGTCATGTTGCAAAATGATCAATAAGGATTTGGTCAAAACTTAGGATTAGACAGCATGAAACTTGTTGATCTCCAGTGTTCAGTCAATGTATCTAATACACACCTACGGGTAGTCGGTCGTGGCCTGTAAAGATCGATGTCACTGAACCCAACACTGGGTGACGTGAGCTCAAATCACAGAAGGGACACACATCTTCTTTCAAGGTCCCAAATATACTTGGCTGAAAAGTGGTGACAGACGCGAAACCTAAGTTCAGAGCTCCTTACCGATTATCTGCAGCCAACTGGCATCCAAATAAATAATCACCTATATGAAAATTTTCACTTCGTAAAATTTTGAGCAGAACTAAATGCAGTGAATTTGGTTAACATCTAAGAATGATCAAAATCAATAGCAAAAAGGAATCAAACTTGAAGATTTCTTATCCAGAATTAGTACTCTTAAAAACTAAGGCCTACAAAAAGATGTATTCATCACTTCTGTTGAGTTGCTTCCTTCCAAAAAAGGTTACATGAAAACATTTAACGTAATCCGATACAGGTATATGTACTAGGCTACAAGCCATACCAACTGTGTGAGGGCTTATGGCGTTAAATGTTTGCACAGAAAAAGATGGCCATAAATTTCGGCCCCTAAGCTATTGAAGAGAAGTTCACTGCTTAAGACAGTGAAAAATGGTTATGTATGAAACATCACTTGATGTTCCTTCTTTACTCAAGAATATCCAATTTATTTGATTCACGCACATTCACTATCTAATAAAATTACCATTAAACCACCGACAAAACATTTAGGGAAGCTGGTTTAAAAATTTACTTCAGAATAAAGTTTAGATTTATTGGTGTGATTCGCTATCAAACAAACAAATCACTATACAGTCTGCATTTAAACCCAGCCTCGAGTAATATTTCCATCAAAGGTCTCGAGAATAGACGTTTAAAGAAGCCATATCAGAGCATTACATGGACCGAAAGAAGATGAAAGGACGATACAATTATTACTTCTGGTGCAACATGTTCAGCCGATAAACTTAGATGATTCAGTTGTAGTCATCTATCGATGATTTTCAGTGTTGAAGTTGAATTCAACAGCGCCTTTCGTTTTTCTGATATGATACTGTAAAGAAACCATTATTTTTCACTGCAAATTTGATCCATCATAAACCAATGTGTACTGAATGTTTCACTAGCTTAAGCAGGTGAATGTTTTTGCATGAAAAACATTATCTCGTTCATTCAGTGTCTTCAGTGAAACTGAAACTGTCAGAAAAACAAGAATAGATTGTGGATACCTCAGAAGACTCAATCATAAAAACTTAACGGAGAAAATAAACTTTCGCACAAGCATAGATCCAAAAACGATTTTGTTGAGGCAGTAGTAGAAGTGCTGAAGAGTCTTCTGTCATGATATATCAAACACTCTTTTCCGATACTCTACTGGTGGTAATTTCTAGCTGCTACTTGCTTTGGTAATATATTAGGGATAATTTACCAATTATGCCGACATTTATATGTATCAATCAGTTCCTGTGTTTTTACAGATAAGTTTACACTGGACATTGTGTCAGGAAGCACTACTCGGTCTAATTAACTAGGATGAGCGAAGAACAATAACATCTTAATGAAGTCAAGTTATCCAACTTCTTAGGGTTAATCTTTAAGATAATATGGCTGAGTTACTCCAAAAATCCGTTTTCATCACTTACGCAGGCTCACTTTTCTAATTTAATCACTATCCAAATTTCTAGCTTTGAAATATAAACATGAGCGACGGTAAATCGTAAGATATACAGATAATGAAGTCATCGACTTCTCGAAAATGTTTACATCTCAAAACTAATTAAACTTTAGTAGAAAATAGAAACGACAAACTTTCCATACATGTCGAAAATTGGTGAGCACAAGATTGTTCAACTATATATATAACCACAAGGAATATTAAGGATCCTAGTTACAGGCATACTGTTGCATAAAGACTTTTAATCAAATAATACATTTAGTAATGATGGGCAGTGGCTAGCAGTGGAATCCACGATGCGCATTTCGTCCTATTTGGGACTCATCAGCTGGATGTACATGCTTCCCAGTGAGCGATATTGTTCCCACAGGACTCGGACTCGAGAACGATCGCTTCAAACGCCAGCGCGTTATCCACTACACCACTGAGCCACGATAGCCACTTCTTGTGCAACGGGTATAGGTTTTAGTGTTATTGCTTGTATTACACCGTCGTTGATAGGACCGAATACATTGTCTAGCATTTCATGCTATTTTCATTTAAGTAGTCAATAATTTCGAAATGTCTTTTGATGCCAATTTACGTAACTGACTTAAAATACAGTTTAGCATTTCTGCTTACCATTTAGATTGTTTTTTCATAGGTTAGCAATACTGGTTATTTCAAAGTTATTTCACAGCCATATTATATGGCCAATTACCTTTCTTCCTTATTTCCAATACCCTGTGATTGAAGTTCCGCTATGAAATTAAGTTTTCACTATTTTATCTCTTATAGTAACATCTGTTTATAATAACGACAAAACCAACGTCGAGTTTCATTGTGACAGTCTAAGATGCGGTCTTATTTCCCATATCGATATGTTTCTACTTACAAAAATTATAAAAGTGGAGAGTATCGAAAGAATGAAATTTGCAAGAGACTTTTTCACAGCTTTTATATTCAAAAAATCATGTCGTTACTACCTAAGTGATCATTCGAAGTTTCCATCAAATTGCTGTACAAATGTTACTGCATTCTATATTTTTAAGCTTTTCTTTTCCAGTTAACTGAATACACTTTGGTCCTCCGTAAGTTTTTTTGATACACACACCTTGACCACAAGTGTCATAATTGATTTCCTTCAGCATCATATCTGATTTTGCTTCTATGTTGAATATGTATGTGACTAATCAATCTTTTATTCAAGAAATTGCGAAAGTCTTATCAAATTTTGTAGAATTATGTTTACATTTTTTTCTGATGGGTAGCTTAGATCAGTACCTTATTCTTAGTGATGGATACTGGCTGAACTCTTCTGGCCAAATTTTCTGTGTGGAAAGTAAGCTAACTTGTGCAACACCGCAGTAATTGATGCTAGTAGCTTGTTAAGAAGAAGCACTGGACATATGTTATCTAAATTTTAGCACTCACCAGTTAAGCTAACCAAAAAACATCAAAGATTTCTGCTGTCTTGATCAACAGAACCGGTGTCATTTAGTGTTTTAGTCAGATACTTCAGCCTTGGCTATCAAGGGGAAAATTGACCCTATTTATGACTGTATCAAGTAAATGAATCAGTCATTAAAGGTTACTCGGTATAGCTGTATCGACAAGGTTTGACTTGAAATGAGCACCAAGCTACACTATCCAGTCTTACAGCTCAACAGTCTTCATCTGAATAGCCCAACAGTTACGCTTCTGAGTTCTTCAATGACTGATGCATGTTCAAATCATTGAAGAAACACAAGTTTCCTCGTGGTTGTGACTCCATCCCACTGATGAATGACGTTAAACACAAGCCCTAAGACTGGGAAACTCTGTCTATTGACTTTTGACATCCAATATGAATTTGTATACTGAACTATGCATAATCTATAGATTTTTAAGTGAAGATAGCATGAGGAAGTCTGTGAAGCTGCACTTTAATAAGACTGGCGACGCAGACGGCCAGAGTTATACGTCATACAGGGAAACAGATCGTCATCATGTCCGGTTAAATAAGAAAGTTTTTCACTCCGCTTCCTATGTAGAACTATGAATTCAATCAAAATTTATGCCTATAGTTAGGAAACATATGCAAGATGAAAGAGTTTTGGTCTATGAACTTGATATATAATGTGAGAAAACCTAAAACAAAATCTTACATACAGTAGTCCACTTCAATTCAACCGAGTAAAACAACATTTTTCAGTAAATTATGCAAGATGAGTAGGTAAGTTTTTCACTACAAATTAATACCACTGATACAGAATGCAGAAAAGACTTAGAAGGAAAGTGATTAAATGTGATTCAAAAAGACTTTGGATAAAACTTTGAATAGATGGGCGATAAAATTATTAAAATCTGTATAACAATGAAGCAGTGTGCAATATTTTAGTGTATAAATACTTTGCATAATATTCCCTCTATTTCTGAATCCTATTAATTCATCAGATGCTCAAATTAGCTGGTGACTTGAATGTTGGGGACATCTGAGCGGACATATAAAATATCAGAATTTACCTTTAAAAGTCTGGCCTATAAGCTACTGACCAGCAGTGTAATATTCATGCCTTTGAAAACATCAATTAGCCCATGCTTAGACAACTTTTCACACTGAAATTCTAAACCGATTAATCCGTCCATATAGCCTCAAAACGTTATGCAAAAACTGGGTTTTAAAGTAAAGTTTTACAATACAAAGAAAGTCTAATGGATTAAATCAGCTGATGGATTCATTTCACAAAGTATACCATGTATTCTGTGGGTGAGATTTTGTGTTTTGATCTGAAACAATAAGTGGATGCTTTCAGCTAAGAAACTTCCTCCAAATTTTCTGCTTTGCATAGTCATTCACCAAACTTCTGTGAACTAAAGAATAACAACATGGATTGAATTTTAAGTCAACGTTTCCACATCAACTTCGATTCATCTTGCAATGAATACATTAAATAATTTAGGTATGATCGACTTTAAAAAGATTCTATGAATTGAATATTCTTTTTATTGAATAACTGAATTAATTTAAACTAATTTTTTGTTTGTATGAATTATTTTAATTGCTGAAATGTAAACAACCTGTAGTAAAAGTTAATCTATTCGCTTTATATTTATTGTCCTCCAGCTTTGAAGCGAGCAGTTTACTTGGAGATGTAGCTAAAATATTAAACGAGCGATGGGCTAGGTCAGTGTAGCAGCAGCAACCAGATGAAGGCTTATCGCATAGATCCGTACACAATATTTCCATGTCATTCAAAAAGCAATTCCTTTGTAAAGAGGCGTACACGAAACATCTGCTTACTGAACACATAATATGTATATATATATGCATCGATTACACACACAAATGCATGAGAAAATAGCTAGATTAATTCCATCATAACCTGTTAATGGAACTGAATATTGATAAATACCATTGTATCTGAGTAATATTCTCCCATTAATAATTGTACACAAATCAAACGTAAAAGGAAAATCCGTTCCACAGATAAGACTGCAAATTATAAAAGACGTAATAGAGATTCCTAAACCTGAATGTTTCCAGATTCTATTAAAAATCTAATATTACAAATAAGCGAGGAAAGTAACTGTGCTTCCTCATCCAATATAGTTCACTCTTAGTAGGTACATAATTTCAGAGGCAATAATTCTCTCTCTCTCTCTCTCCCATATAATATTCCCGATAATAACAATGTTTAGAGAGAAAATTTATTTTGGTATTCACCATGGATTGATGTCAACTGGAGAATCATTGAGATTCTGGGATCACTGGAAAGCTGTTTCTTCCTGGTATGACACTTCTCAGTAGTGCGCACCTATGACCTCATTATGGATTCAACCTGTGACCTTCAGGTTCCACAGCCATTAAGTTACTACTTGATCACTAGGTCAGAATCCATTGATTCACATTTTCCTGCTTCTGTCGGTTGGTGGCATAGCCCGGCTCTCACTTAAGGCCGACGATCTAGACCTGTCCTGATGTCCGACTTGATTTGCCTCATCCGTCACGACTTCTCACTAGAACTTCGGGAAGTTTCATCTCAAAACTAGTTACGAATGAGTTTTTTAACAGTAATTGAACTTGGAGGTTATTGAGGATTTATTTATTTCATAGTGATGTTGATCTATGAATCCACGTGTACACAAACTGATATTTATAATTCAATTTATGGCCACTTTTAATTCGAATACCACAGCACTCTGAGCAATATTTCAACTTGCAAGTGAAAACCGCCTGTCAATCTTCTTCTACCTACTCGATTTCACCCATACATGAATTGTATGTCTACTGACCAAATAAGATTTTATTGAGAAAAAGGGATGTGCGTACGAAGAAACTCTTTCCGAAACCCCTCACTGAATAAGTTAATGTAATATTCATTGTCACTGAGGAACTTTTCGTGACTGGTTAGTCCCATCATCTGGCTAGTTCAACGCTTACTTCCTGATATTGTACGGTCACTGATAAAAGCAACTAGATTTAGTAAATCTTAAATTTATGCCATTTAATTTAGTCAATCGCTGTGATGTTGTTTGGGTGAATAAGTATGAGATAGAGTTTTTTATGCTTCCACACTATACTGGACTCCGACCCGGTATTCCACCTAAGTACAAAAGACAAATAAGTAGCAGATCACATGGTGGTCATTTTTGAATGAGACACTGATTCGTCAAACGGAATTCTTAAACATATTCATGAATATATTTCCTGCATCCAAGTAAGTCTTTAAGTAGACGACAAAAGCTGGGTCATTTGAGCATATACTGTAGAAGTTACATAACTCACATCACACGATAACTCATTTGTCTCAGTGTTTACTTCATACGTTAAAACTTTGCCTTGTTCACTGAAACTAACGTAATCAATATTATGATAATAAAACTTAGAGCATATGATGGGTTCTGGAGTCATATATCTCAATTCTACTCCGCAAATTGAATGGCGTTCAATTTCACCTATTGACCAAGCAGGCTTAAATATGATCAGAAATGCTTCATGTTTAATTATTTTTGTCTTGTTTTACACATCCTATGTTTTATCTTACAACACTTTTAATTGTAACAGCGTTTGTACAGAATAAGTCGATGCATTTGTACTAATTTCGTCTCTTAGATGTGCATATTGAGCATTCATTCTAGCTAGAGTGAAAGTGATCTAAATAATGAGCATAAGCTGCAGACTTCAGTGAGGCATTGATAAATTTGAAGTGACTTTAAACAAAAAATATGTGACTTTAGTACGCTGAATAATACCTTTCATAGATAAGTGGAATACAAAGTTCTAGCTTATTCATTGTCTTTCCTGAATTCTTTACGTCTTGAAATGTAATCTGAACTTAGCAGGAAGATCATGAAGACGCAATTTAGTTCTTCTAGCGAAAGAGTATTCATTTGAGGAGTATCACCATCCTTGTAATACATCAAGCTTAGAAAGAGAAAAAAATCTCAGTAACCAGTAATCCTCCTATGTATATAAACACTGTTCTCTACAGATATTCAGTAGTGAAGCCTATCCTGTCCAGGATCATATTTTTCAGATATTATGTTATGTTACCCCAAGAGTAAAACCTTGAAATCTTTGGAATCTCACTTGATAAAAAGCGTTTCATTTTGATCAACTAAGGTTTGAAACTCATTACTAAGTTTCGTTGTTAGTTATTACATGTAAATTGAATGAGAAATAAACTGATTTTATTACTCCTTTAGGCTTTGCCTTTTTTATATATGACTTTCCCCTAAACTATCAATCAGCCTCATCACAAAAATTCATGATATCCAAAAATTTATACTGACCACCTAAAATTCCACCAAAAATTAATGAATCACAAATTTTTTCCCCGTTTTGACATGCTGCCACTGAGTTATGAGTTAGGATATAGAGGGATTAGGCACATAGAGTTTACTCTCAATATGTCCAACTATGATTGACATTCTGTCAACATTTTTACTGAAGGCTCAGAGAAAAGTTCGAAGGAAAGCACTGTGCTTTTCTTACAAATGGTTGACGCTCAGGAAGCAATATTCTAAGACCATACTTTTATCTGCCAAAAGTCTAATGTTCTAACTTAGAACAGTATTTCTTTTCAGCACTCACCTAAGATACAAGATCGACCCTGTGGGATGCAATGAGAAGACTAGTGTCAACTAATTTTTAATATCCTTCAAAGTAATTGCCTAATGTTAATTTCAGTGACGAATTCTTGAGCGCAAGTATTAGTATTTTGGTGTGGTTCTCAGCTTGTATTTGAATGTGTTGCTTATACTCCAACATGCTCATTTCTGTGTTAGTCATTACTGAGGCTAGATGTAGATATGAGACTGACAAAATTGAACTGTTTAACGGACTTTCAATAGAAATGGATCTTCACAGTACTTTATGATCAGTTTTGGATTAAATTTCCGTGCTACATAAGTAATTTCACACCTTCCTCAGAGTAATAGTTACCCATTATATTAAATTCGTCTATTCTCGTTGTCCTGTATATATTTTGAATTTTCATTGTTGGTCTCATCTTAGAACCGTCTCATAATTCAAAAAATCCCAAAATGTAATATAAGTTCATCAGCGTAAAGAACAGTAAACAGCCTACGAAATCGCCTCATCGTAATCAAAACACCAAAACTCTCCTTTCAGAATTGATACTACATATAATGAAATCAAGTAACATTTGCAGTCAAATCATCTAAGTATTATTTTTTATCAAAACTATATTTCACCAGAATGAAAAGGAACTGAACAATGTAAACCAAATCCCTTAATACTTACGTTTAGGGGTTGAATAGCATAAGTATTAAGTTCAGATTGCACTGAGTTCAACAAAGTTAAAAACAGATGTTGGTAAATAAAATAAGAGACAAATTTGAAATTCATTCTTGCCAACCGACTGAATACTGAGTTGATGCATCAAACTCCAAATAACAGGCTTTATATGTCTATTTATGAGGACTGAAACAGTTTATATATATATACACATATATATATATATATATATATATACATATATATATATATACATATATATATATATATATATATATATATATATATATATATAATGAAAATTGCTGATTTCCGGTTGCACATTCTGCTGATGTATTGGTTCCTCTTACGAAATCATTGCTGTAGGAAGGTCACTTTGCAGTAATTAAATTGCCTAGTTCTAGAATAAATCAATGACAGTTAATTACTCTAAATGTTTCAACACAAATCATTACCCAGAAACTGAATTTAAATGGCAACTTGAAGATGTCTAAAAAATAAAATTTTTTTATTTGTTTGAAACCCTTTGCATTTCTCCTAAATAAATCATTCATTTCATACGGGACTAGTAAGAGGAACGGATTTCAGTAACTTATGCGCTGGTACAGCTTTTGGTTTAAGAATTAGAAAATATTTATACTATATATATATATATATATATATATATATATATATATATATATATATATATAAAATAGGAATGGTACTGTGATATTCATGTCATATTCCGAAGATACTTAATTTATAATCTCACCTTACAGTTAAGTTACAGGAGTTTCTGCATATGTCTATGTATAGTGCAGAAACTGGATGCATAAGTTTTACGGAGTCACTTCCAGGGAGAATTAGGAAGCGTTTGGACGATAAAATAACTGAGAGTTTTCAAATCTATCAAGTCATATGGTAAGCTTTCTTAAGCAGCTGAGATTTACGTAATTAGGTAATCTATAATTAACTTTGTCAAACATTCAAATGAATACTCTGACATCAGAGTGAATGTTGTTATATATCGTCAAAAAAATAAGTAAGATACAAAATGATATTTTGAAAACCTCATTGTTCAGACTGAAGATATACTTCCAACTTCATCTGGGAGCTCCGATCAATTCAAAGTCACAAGAATACATTGGTTCAAATAATCGGAAATGCAGTAGAGACAACAACCAATGATGTCGAAAAATCGCGAAGTTGAAATAAGCAAACAAGTTAACAACAAAGATGTTATGCGTATGGGCTCAGAAAAAGGATTAGGTTTTGTTGTTTCATTTGCAGGCGATCTAGTAACTATTTAAGCATGAATCCAAGTGATGAAAGTAAGCGTATGAAATACATATCCAGAAAGCATTTAGAATCAGCTATCAAAACTCTTAATAGAACTGAAAGACGAAAACCCATAACAAACTGGGATATTTATGAGCAACTTAAACCATCCGGTTCAACAATATTTTGTTTCCTCTTTCTACATCAGATGCCTGTAAGAAATGTTCCTCTTATTCATATATAAAAGATAATATTTAAGCCATACTAGTCTACAGTTAAATAGTTGGCAGAATTTTTCAAACCATTGAATAAAAAATTGTAAGTACAGCCTTACCCTTACACATGACCTGGTCATTACATAGAAGTAACCAATATTACGCGTTAAAAGATGATGACATGATGTTCCTTCTTTACTCAAGAGTGTATCGCTCCTAAATATTGACTGTGTTTTTGTCGACTCTTCCAACTTAGTTCACTTACCTGCCACCCCCTCAAGTCTTCTTTATTTGCTTTCAATTTCATAGAAAGAATTTAACCAACAACACAGTACACCGCAAATGAACTATGAATAACGAATAATATTGGGTGTTGTTAACCTAAAGTTGTTCATCTGTGATGCACCGAGTCAAAGTCATTCACACTCATATTATGTTCAGATGAGCAGTTACATAAACTTTACCATGACTCTTGTCGATTGAGTCATAGTAAACCAAGTAGAAATAGACAATTGCCTTTCAAAATGCCAACAGATAGTTTTGAATCCTTGTTAACTATTTTAAAAACTTGTGAATGAGGTTAAAGAATGCTAGTTTGAGTTAATTTTATCGAAGCAAAATTACAACCCTTTTTAGACTAAAGAACAAGAGTTATCTCGTTATACAATGTGCTTATGAAATCCTTTTGGTAATTCTTAAGTTTATTCTCACACTATGTAAACCATTCTACATAACACAGACTAGTAACACTAAACTTCAGGATTTCAATGATCTTTGTTTTACTTTATTTTGTTTATTTTAATTCCAGTGACTGATAATGTAGGTCATACAACTGGATTTGAATATCAATATCATTCAATTATTTTCCTGCAATATATGCTCTGGATCCTAGCGTGAATGCTTTTTTGGATTTTCACTCAACGACTTTAGTGAACCATCATCTTAAGCAGACTTTGATAAGGTATTTCCCGAAATCCTGTATATGATTTGAATACTGGTTGATTCAACTCAGAAAATGTATTCACTCGCATACGATGTTCATCAAAACAAACAATATTTCTACTAAGTAAAATTTCCTGTATGACCAACAAATGATTCAAAAAAGATTCACGCTTTATCAGAGAACCAGGACTAGTTTGATTAAACTTGAATACTCAGCAGTAATAACTCATTATCATTAAAGAAGCCTAAATATTGTTTTTCCACACGATCTTCAACCATGGATTGCCACTGGATAAGTAAATGACTTAAAAGCTGATAAGTTGATTAGCAATCAATTTCAGTAAGACATGTTGATGCGTAAGTCAGGAATCATTCGATTACGGAACAAAAGATGTGAACATTTCATCAACAATATCTCGAAAGTTAAAGGCGAATCATTTCCTAACATAACTTTGATGTGTGAATCATGGACATTAGTATATCAGAAGATATTTTTTTAGAGTCAATTTGTTTTAAAATGTAGTCAGTGTACAACTTTAATTTCTATGCGTAAAGAATTTACATTTTCGGTTGACTACTGTTGGGCAAAATGTTTTGAATGGAAGCGATGTCGAAAGCATTAGTCTATTCAACGTCAAGAAAATAAGTGAATTGATCAAAAGGATTAAATCGCTGTCGAGGAGTCGTGAAAATCTATACATGAAAAAGGGTAAACTACGTTCAACAAACTATGAAATTAAGAAGTTGGTACAGAAATTTAAAGACGTTTAAAAACTATATTTCTGTTTTGGATTCTGCTATATTCTACAGGTTTCAGTGATAAAAAATTCTGTAGATGTCTGTCACCATCTATTTATCGTGCACCATCAGGAATGAAGCATTTAACTGATCTATACTAAAGTTTTGTGACACATTTTGGGATTTGTTGATTATATATTTTTATCTCTTTATAAAAGAAGATGAAATAGTAAGAGAAAGTTTTGGCAGCATTTCCCTCCTTTCATAAGTTTCCTGATCATCTGGTGATTTATATATATGATTTACACCTTTTTGGAGGAACTTCTGTCGATAGTCCTTATGAATCACGTTGGCATGATTTCCTCTTAGTTTTTATAGAATCCCGAGTTTGAAGACGATAACAGTATTTGCTTGCGCTGAAGAAGATGAAGAAAACTTAATGATACCGAATCTGGTTAGTAAATCTATTTCAATTTTAAATTTGTCAGTTTATTTTTCTTCCAATAGCTTGTGATATTTGAATTTAATACTTGATGGTAAAACAATAAAGTTATTCACACATGTGCAGATTGCATAAATACTCTCTACAAATCTTTTTTAATTGGAAACAACATTCTTTAATGTCATTTTTCTTGTTTTGTACAGTTTTATTAACATCTGTAAAATCAGAATTTGTTTATCTGTACTCCTCAACTACCTACAAATAAAAAGCAACAATCTGAACGAAGAATATTTTCAATAAATACCCTTCAGGTTGTACAGTCATAAAATCTATTTGTACAGCGTAAAAAACAAGCCATGTTATGGTTAGTTACATTTTCAAAATGGAGTGAGATCTAGAGGTTGTAAGGAAATCAATTCATCTTTTTAAGTTAGTCAATAATGGGATGATATATGTACAGAAGAATGATATGATGGTGAAAAAAAAAGATAAAGAATGGAAAGGCAGGAGTTGTTTTCAGTTAGCTGAACCCCAAAGGAGAAGTAACATTTGGACATGTTCTTTCAGAATGCAGAGTTTAGGCTTAATCAGTCTTACTGCGTTAGCCTCCGTTATGTTGAGCATGCGTTGGTCAGCTACACGAGGTGTTGTATTTAGAACGCGATGAGTGACACTGAAAGCTTTATTAGCATCTATATGATGCCCTGTGTCAACTAGATGCTCTATGACTGAACTTTTTTTTCACAATCCTATATTTTTTAACGCTATTGAAACCTTGCAACTTCAATTTCTAGACTTCTTTGGCTTCCCTTTGTGATAAATTACCGTTCGTAAATTGTCTTTTATTATTCAATGAACGTACACTCTTTTGCTTGCTGAGTTGCTGATTAACACTTTTCTTTTCTTCTTTTTCCTTCCAGATTCTCAAGTAGGATGAGTTGACTGCCATTACCAAACGTATACAGACTCTTATGCCCTCTTCCGAGTAACAACGTATCTATAGGTAAGACGAAAATCTCTTTTTATTCTTCAGTGCGAGGAAATACATGTGAAATTGATCTACCGTGTTCTACTTTTTTCCCACTACCTATGACAATCATGAATTGCTTTTGATAATTTTTGTTGGAAACTCATCTCCTCTTCCCAATCGTATGGAGAATTTACTTAAAGTAAGTACTTCTCAAGCTTTTTCATCATTAAATCACTCCACTCTTCAAATCGCGTTGCAGAGACTAAAATTAAAACAGTGTGTTGAACCCAATACCCAATAATTACCGAATTTATTGACTTTCTGACTATATTTCTATTTTGTGGACTTTTCCTTGTCTCGATTTGTGCTGATGGTTACATACGATAGAGATTTAATTTTTTGTATTGGCTGTTTCCGGTTCCATCAAACATGTCAAGCAGGAGGTGTAATGTTAAGCTACTTTCGTAGGTTTGAACACTACTTTCAAACTATGAATAGAGGGACTCAAACGTTAGAACAACTAAGATCTCACTGCGGACTCCCTTTTTATTTCGCTCTTCCTCCGGTCAGTCAGTGTCCAACTTTCTTGCTCATAGTTTTTCA